TCATAATACTTTTCGAATGAAGTATCTAGTACCATTTCAAGCCTATATGGGTTATTTGAGCTCCCAGATAGATCGACTCATTTATCCTTCTCTTGTCGCGCGCGTTTCAAAAGGGGCAGTGATTTTGTGTTTTTTGCGATTATCCTTGCTTTTGTCTAATTGTTGCATCAAAAACATTCTTGGTCTATATTGAAGCAATTTAGTTGAGGTTTGAAATCTTGCTTAAGTTTGTCTTGTGGTACCCTTTTACTCATCGACTGACAATTGTGTTCATATTGTGATCATATTGTGTTTTACACCTTAATCTGACTAAATTGCTTGGTAGTACTCACAACCGTGGACAACCAAACTGCTGGTTCCCTGTGGAGGAAGGAATGCAGTGTGTGATTAATGCAAAAGTCCTTCAATAAGATGTATATCCGTTTGACTCCCACCGCATACAAAAGATGTTCGAAGCCTAACTCATATTGGCTTTGTATGTTTTGCTGTGCAAATAAGACGTTATTAATACAGGAGGCTATGAGCCTATTGGCTTTGGCCTGTAAGAAAACGATGGCGCATGCGCTGATAACACGAGCACTGACAGTGACGAATATGTCAGTGTAGTACCGACTGTTACGAGATGCCTCAAACACCCGACTGTGCCACATGAAATTGACATTGGTAATCATGCTTTTCTAGTGGGAATTGAAGATCCCTATAAAACCGCCACCGTTTCAAATAGTTCCGGTGTCCTGAATGATGAAAAATTGACTACAGTACGGAGAAAACTAAGCTAATAGAAAAAAGCTGTAGGCAGTACGCAGCTGGTTAGGAAGTCATTAAAAGACTTCCATTGTGAGTCACAAAATGCACTGCCAAAATCTGATGCACTACCAAAATTTGATAGTAAGAGAGTAACGCACCCTGGCGTGACTGAGAAGAAGGAAATTATCCCATCGAATATTATTGTGAGCAAATTGCTGGAGTCAAACGACCTTAATTCCCAAATTGGACGCGCACACGATTTAGAGAAGCTGGGAGAATATATCCGTAGTATCTTACCGGATAACTCTGAAGCAGCTCAGGTCAAGAGTTTCATTAGAATAGGTAAGAGGTTCGAGGACAATGTTGAACCCCAACCATGCAGACTCCTTAAGGTAATCCTAGGATTGGAGAAGCAACGGGATCTCCTGTTAAGTAGCACTCGTTGTCACGAAAATTCCAACATCCGAGTTGGACCTGATATGTCTCTCGAGGATAGAATAAAAAGGGAGGGAGCATTGGTTGAACTAGAACCCCATCGACAAAACGGTGGAGGAAATCTCCGGTTAGTGGGTTTTCGGATAGTCAGGTTTTGGAAGAGAATGCTAGCAAGGCTTGTGTGTATAGGCCGTTCAACCTAGAAGTTTTATATGCTAACGTTCGTAGAATAAGAAATAAGTTCTATGAACTAGAGGCATTAGTGAAAGGATTAAGGTCACTCATCATAGCAGTGACAGAAACTTGGTTAGTCCATGACTTAGACATTACTCCAGAATTATCCGTACACCATTACCTAAGGAGTGATAGACATGGATGTAGAAAAGGAGAAGGCGTCCTGTTATATATAGCCAATAATATAAATATTCTCTCCTCTGCTAGCGAATCCCATGAAAGCGGTGCTTGTGAAGTTATTAGCTGTAAATTGGCTATCGGATGTAGTACATTTGTGCTCAGTTTCATCTATCGCAACCCAATTGGCTTAGCTGATAACTTTATTTTTGAGCACATCCATCTTTGGAGTGCAAATACCAAATACTTGATAATAGGAGACTTTAATGCACCTAATATTAGTTGGACTGAGATGATCACGGAAGGATCTACAAACTCCTTTGATAGTAGGTTCCTGATAACAATAGTGGTGCATGCATTAGTGCAGCATGTATCCAAACCCACACGTTTTGTTGAAAACCAAGGTTCTCTGTTGGACTTGGTAATCACTCACGAGACTGAGGATATTGTCGACCTAAATATTCTTCCACCGTTACTGAACAACGATCACGCTGCTTTGTCATTCACGTTGCTAAGACAGATTGGCTTGTAGATAATAGTTTATCAGTTAAAGAAACATGATCTATATTTAAAGGTAAGTCTAGTTTAGTTGCGTCCTCGTTTATACCATACTTGGTACCGCGAAGACCAAGTAACAGTACACCATGAATAACTAAACCCGTCAGGAAACTTCTTAGAAAAAGGAAGAAGCACTGGGATATGTTCATCTCTACTGTCTTAGAACAATACAGATGCAATTATTGTAAGATCAGAAATACTTGTAAAGCCTTGATAAGTAAGACTAGACGACTATAAAAAAACAGTTGGTTAGAGATTCTAGATATAGTCCGAAACGGTTATTCTTTTATTTAAAAAGGCAAACTCAGAGAAGCGATGGAATTCCATCACTTTCGATACAAGAAAATCAATCTTGGAAGAAAGTGATACCGAGAATGCTGAAGCTACAACAGAATATTTCAGTAGTGTTTTTTATTAGTAATGAGGAACGACCAACAATTCATTATGATTGTGGCGGCTCGCTGATGGACCGCATAGTCATTGAAAAAGGCGCTGTTTTAAGGCTACTTCAGCATCTCAAACCTGATAAGTCCAGTGGTCCTGATGATATTCATACTAGGATTATGAAAGCCACATCAGATGTAATCTCTGAGCCATTAGCGATACTGTTTGACATGTCTCTGAGGCAGTCCAAACTGCCCAGAGATTGGAAAGACGCTATAATAAGTTCGGTGTATAAGGTTGGGAGTAGGGATTTAGTTAGTAACTATAGACCCATTAGCTTGACTAGTGCGGTTGTAAAACTGATGGAAAAAATCATTCGGATATCTGTTATAAACTATGTTGAAGGGCATAATATTTTCTCCAGGGAACAACATGGTTTTCGGATAGACCTACCATGCTTGACAAATCTTCTCATTGCAAGAGAAGATTGGGCTGCCGCAAAAGATCGAAATGTTCCTGTGGATGTGATCTTAATAGACCTAAGTAAGGCCTTCGATAAAGTCTCCCATTCTGGTTTAAAATTCAAACTGGAACGTTTTGGAATCCATTAAACAGTCGCGGAGTGGATAAGTAACTTTCTCCATGACAGGAAACAAAGGGTAATGGCAAATGGGGCTCTCTACTCGTGGGTACTCGTAAAAAGTGGGATTCCTCAAGATACAACCCTCGGTCCTCTTCTCTTTTTAATTTATGTAAATGAATTACCAACTGGAACGAAATCATCCGTTCTACTCTTCGCTGGTAACATAAAAATTCGGAGACTCATACACAGTATATCGGATGGGACAGTATTAGAGAATGATCTTGACTCATTGGTGGCATGGTTGAACAGGTGGTCACTAGAAGTAAATACTAATAAGAGTGTAGTGATGCAAATAAATAACTATGATGAATCGTATCACTATGCAATATGTGGATTCGTGCTACCCAAAGTAAGAAATTACAAAGATTTAGGAGTCATATTAAGCAATGGTCTCAAAACCTCTAGTCACTGTAAGGCTGTTGCTGCGAAAGGCTATAGGGTATTATGGTCTATTCGTAGGTCTTTCCAGCATTTAGATGATGAAATATTTAGATCATTATACCTGATTTATGTGCGACCACATTTAGAATATGGGATTCAAACAGCGAGTCCTTGTTTCAAGTATGAAGCGGATATGCTCGAAAGAGTCCAGCGCGGAGATACTAAGAAGGTACAAGGTTTACCTGGCCTATCTCACGAAGACAGACTGAGACACCTTAACTTATTTCCGTTATCTTACCGTAGAGTACGGGATGATCTAATATTGGCTTATCGTATACTAAACGATGACCTTGGTATTAACATGTCTTATCTTTTACTTCCGTCTAGGACTGACCATTTGAGAGGACATTCGAAGAAAGTTCAAAAACCGAGATCAAATCCTTTACGTCTGGAGTTTCGTTTCTCTCACCGAGTAGAGAATTACTGGAATTCTCTACCGGAACACGTAATATCAGCACCTTTTGTTGATATATTCAAAACGAGGTTGGATCTTCACAGAATGACAAACTGCAAGAATTAATATAGGTCAATAGACCTCCTATCCTTATTACTGAAGACTTAGTCACATTTGAACGTGTTAATTAACTTAATGACCTTGACTGTTTTTATATTAGCGTTTGTGTGCATTGCTTATTCTACTCATCCCGTGTCTATAGTATATTTTTGTATGCCACGTTTGATGAATTAGAGTTGGTACAATAATTAGAAGTATTTAGATTAATCTAACTACGAACTCCTTAAATAGCACAATTTAAGCCAGATTATCTTAGATGAGCACAAACGAACGAATTTTATTTAGAGATCTAAATAGACAGGTAATCAAGTACAAACGAATCACTAGTTCATACAAATACCACAGTTGAATCACTAGCCTTCTTCTTTCCCATTTCTTGTTCCGAATGTCTGTCTTGACTAACGAGTGCCTCCCAACCCATGTTTGTTTTCTGATTACAACAACCACATGAACTGAGTTGTCCTAGGTAATATGTCGAGTTATAAATGAAAGATTTATGTTCACAGCATGTTTGTACGTTCAAAGCGGAGTCAGATACCAGGCTACAGAGATTTCGACTGCAAAACTAATGCCTATGGTTAGAGCAACTCTTTTTCAGTTACTTATAAACATTAAACCTGATAAGTTGTGGAATATTGAATGGTTGTACTCACCACTATATATATATATATATATATATATATATATAGCAAGTCACTTGATAACATGGGCCACTTGAGACTTTTTTGAAAACTTAACTTAAGAAGGTTCGAAAACCCCGATCAAATTAGTGACATTGCGTCTTTCTCATCCGGTGATCAGTAATAATAACGCTCTATCCAAACAAACTTCACCAGTCCCAGAAACTACTTTTAAGGATACTTGAATGTCACAGAAAAAAAGTTGCAGGATGAACACAAACTAAATAACCAACACATTGAAGGCGAGGCGGCTTTTCCAAGTCTTTGCGTTTCTTAGTGTTGCATATTGTCTTTCCAGGTTAATAATCAATTTTCTATAGTGAATTATTCGCATTTGACTTGTCTTCTTGTGATAAAGTAATAAGTTTTGTGTGCTTATCAGCCGCCATTAACGGTTTGCATAATAGCTATGTGTCAATAAATGAAAATTACTTTTCTGACAATGAGTTGTTGATATTGAGTTGTCTTGTAAGTTCCAACTTCTGGTAGTTGAAGGTAAAAAACAACATATTTTCACCTTTTCTGGCGTTCAAGGAATGATCTAAAATACTCATGTATTACACGGATGTAATATATGTATATCCCCTAGACGGATAAATTTTTCCCCCAAATTGGGAGATTAGGGTTATGTATTGTAAAAATTGTCGTGTTCATTCCGCTTGTCAGAATGACTTTGAGTTTGATCTTCAGCAATTTGAAAAGTTGCTTAAGTAATCTGTACGCCGATAATTCTTGTCTGCAGTCTTATTTGCCAAATCTAGCTCATGGTCAACGATTTAATGAAGTCCTAATAACAAAACTGATCTTGGGTACTGCTGAACCCTTTCGTCACCTTGCTGAGATTTAAATTGGCCTTACATTTATACTTTCAATGTACTACCACCAACTTGGAAGTCTAACTTCGTGGATTGCTTGAAGTTAGACAATAACACCGTTGCATACCGGCTCAGTGGTCTAGTGGTTAAGCGCTCGCCCGTGGGACTGACAGGTCCTGGATTCGAATCTCGCAAATCGGGGTCGTGTATACGCACTGCTGAGGAGTTTCATATTAGGACGCAACGGTCGTCAAGTGCTTCCAGGTTGTCCATGGTAGTCTAGCTCCAATTGACTCATGAATTCAACTATTAAATAAATAATAATTCCTGCTTCATTTCGGTTAGTTGCCAAACGCAATGTCGAAATTGCGAACGAGACTGGAGTTTATTCCTACACTATTCTGGATGTACGAGGTCTGTGCTGACCATCTTACAGTTACTCTTGCTTGGGAATCAAAGCAAATGCTACCTTTAGAGAAATTGTCAACTTTAGGTTTCTGGAATTCACTATTTGTCCTGTTATAATAAGTATATGAACTTCGACACCCATTGTCCGCAAGAATAGCTTGGTTATTAAGGAATCTGAGTGTTAGAAGAGGTCGCTGATGTTAGTGTTTAAGTCTGTAGTTCATTGGCTGTATTTTCCATTTTATTTTTAAGAAGGAATTAAGTCTAAGGAAGCATCCTTAACATTAATGCTGGTGTTTAGTCGTATTGTTGAATCATTCATATATATTCATTATATTCAAGGTATCTTCCTGTTCGACCACATATATCTTAGAAATATTGCTCGTGTCTGCTGGGATCACCGGCAAAGTAACAGTAAGGTTAGACACAGGGCATTAGGAATTGATGGTAAATCAGTCGATGAGGTTGTGAATCTTCACCGACTGAGATAGTTAGGCCACGTTTTACGCATGCCCGAACACTGATTACCACGACGCGCAATGATGACTGGTGTAGGGGATGGTTGTAAAAAAGTTAGGGGCGGCCAAACCAAAACGTGGCATCAGTGCTTGAAGACACTAGCTTCTGATCTGAGCCATGGTGGTAGATGCAGTCTACTCGGTTGGGGTCTGCGTGACTATCGTAACCAATGGTTGGAGACTCTTGGTGACATGGCTCAGAATCGATCACAATGGCATCGGTGTATACACTCTGTCTTCCCTTAAACTATGAGATTAAAATCGCTCCATATCTTTCTTTCTATGAATTAATCCTTTCTTTCTGTACTATATGCGTACACAAAAGCTTTCCTTTATACATTACACCATTGAGTTAACTGCTTATATAAATCCGGTGTTCGTCTTGTTGTGCTAACGATGTGTGGCAACTTGGACCGATGCATATGTGCCTGGTCCTACATTGTAGCTGACTGAAAATCTTTCGGTTCTCATTGAGGACAGGCAATAGATCAAGTGTTAGGGTTTAGTGTTTTCTTGGTAGGTAGATGTGATTTGACATTGGGATGAAATCCATCATACAGTTACGTAATTCGAGTCCATTTATTGGATTCATTTCAGAATCTACAAGAGCAAAAAAAAATCAAAAGCATAGCATATAACTTCATATGTCCTTGATTATTATCTAGCGTGTTGACTTAATTTTTTTTAAAAGGAAACCCAGTTTAATTTACAATTAATGTTCTCAACTAACCAGGTGTAATGTAAAGGGCTTATAATATAAATTATAATAAAGTAACAGAATAAAATTTGTATGAAGGGATGTTTTATGAGTAGTCCTTATACACTTAGTCCCCTTTTAGTTTTTTGTAGCTTAAACGTCTTTAGAGTATTAAAAACGTCCAGTTTATGGTTGACAAATAACCTGTTAGAGCCGAGTAAGCTCCTTATTTACGTTGTTTGAACTATTTTCATCTTTGTTGATCGGTATGGAGATAGATGGTTGAGCCACATCTTTGATCACCACTTTACAGGATAGCACATCAATTTCAATGTAGTTGGGGTTTCTCTGAATAGTCTTCTACTTGTTCTGGTCAAATTTCAGTGTGGGTTTCTGTGAGCTTGCAGTTTGGTATCAGGGACCCCTAACTTATGCTTTCTACTTATGTCACTAGTATTATGACATGTTTCCCGGCATTCATTTTTATTCCTTCAAGTCCATCGTGCATCATTGAGTTAGGATTTGCTGTTTCGCCTTAGTAGTCTTATAAAGTTCCGAAAATGGGTCAACGGTGACATAGCATCACAGACATTCATTAGCTGTTCTGTGTTCACTTTTTCCTTAGGAATTTTCCACCTGATGTTCAACAGCTCTATAGCTTCCTGTATCACGAGGAATTCTGTAGAGCAGCACACTTTGCACATCTAGAGAGGTCGATGCCTGCTACTCAGTCTAAAGGCAGCAGGAGGTTAGGCCAATACACATTTTATGATCTCACTTGTTGCAGTTATTAGATCATCAATTTTCAGTCAAAAGGTAGCAAACACCCTTATCACATTGGGGGTTTGTCGGAGTCATTTATGTGAAAACTAAACCTTAAAAAGTTATAAAAATCAAAATGTAAACATTTGTGCAAGAAAAATGAATAAACTTCGGCTAAGATGCCTACAGCTAAAGTATAATGTGTGGGTTTTGGTTCGAAAAGTGCAATTAAAACTGAGTTAACACTGCGTGAAACTCGTCACTCCCTTCATTTGAAGTTGCAATTGTTACACCATAGATTTTCAGTGACTCACTTTTCCACCACCTAAGCGAATTCATGGACGTTAGGAATTTCATCTTTCCCAGTTCGCATCACTAAAAGTCAGGAAGTACTAGACAACTGTTTCACCTAGCACGGGACTCCACAACAGTTCTCACCGCCATCCAAAATGGGATCAGACTCAGGACCGTCGCGGCGAGCGTTTAACCTTTAAACCATTTAGGCGTATCGTGTGGTTTATGTCTTAAATGTGTCCTCATAGTTTGTATATTCTTGATGAATGAAAACATAAGATATTCATTTATAAATGGTGATTAAAAATGTTGAATGTTCATGAGTTCATTTCTGAACTAACAGCAAAATAAAACAGGTTAGAGGGTTCTGAGGAAAAGGGCAGAAAATCCTAATTACATAACCTGTTTCGACATACGTGCTTCACTCTATGAAAATGGGTTTTCGTTTTGTATTCTGTGTTTTAGTAGCAACCAAATCCTTTAGAAAATGTGACCATACTTCTGCAATAAATCTCGGAGGTTAGCAGACTCTTCATGGTTGCATTAAATGCCCTATTGTAAGGTAAAAATAATAGGATTCTTCCCCAATTCCCCTAACTACTTCATTTGGAAGTTTCAGGGTTCTGTTTGTCGCGCTGACGATGGTTTCATACTTCGATTTTGGTTGCATGTATTGTTTTATCAAAGTCGTATTACGAAATAGACAGTAAAACTTAATAACACTTATTTTAACACAAAACTCGTAATTTCGGGTTTTTTTGTGATCAATTACTAATTCAATAAGTTGGACTGTGTAAACTTAAGGATTCTATAAAGGTTTATCAATACACATCGAGTTCGGTTATAATTTTCATTGTTGCACTTTGATTTGTAATACTACCCAAACATAATTTATTCGAAAATTTAAATCATGAATTGTTACTCACTTTTATAAACAAATTACTTTATTTCTTTGTGCACACTAATGATTATTAACTATAATTTCAGATTTTTAGTGTCTCACGTCCTATGGGATCACTATCATTGGGTTATTATCCTTCATGTAATGTGGTAGCGACGGCAACATCTGGGTCAGCTTCTACAGACGATCGACAACAAGCTCTTATTTATCCATGTATTAAGATGTAAACTAACCCTTCTGTCATTAATCAAACGATTTATAGAATGAGCATCACTGGATTCGATCCTGAACGGTATAAAGTCATCAAGGGTGAATATACACCACTCGCATGTTATGGTGAATTACGAATTAATTATTGTATCACACGTGATATCCCTTTCCTGTCAAATTCATTTATTACAAATTGGTCTCAAACACAAGTTAATCTTGACAGACAATTGTATGATAAACGATACAAGTGTAGATTTGTTTTCTAGATTTAATGAAGCCTTTGATTTACCCTTACCATATAATGCCTTGTACGACTATAATGGAATTTGTTTTGTCCTGTCATCTACGTATACGGATAAAAAAGGTATGCATGAACAGTTAATAGCTGGTGCAAACATGAAATTATACAATTCTAAAAAGTAAGTTAATAGCAACTACCATTTACCTACAATCACCGTATTGTGTGGACTAAAATATATAAGCAAATCTTACTATTTTTGTACCCGTGTCTGACTCTGGTATGACTGAACTGCAACATCATGTTTGTAATGTAAACGTTCGGTGTCACTATATTGAAACGTCAACTTGTAACACTGATTTTGGTGGGTTGGACATGTCTTAAGAATGTCGTCCCAGAAAATTCCACGTCGTGCATTATTTGACGACTGGTTGGAAAAAGTGGAGAGGTGGTCAGTGTATGACAAGGTGTCGTGGTATGAAAGAAAGCTGTACATGATTGACTTCTGTTCATCTTGCACGACTCCCTAGTTGGGCTCCTAGAGATGGAGCAACAAAGCGGCTTGAGGCGTTATGAGACATGGCTCAGAATAGAAGCCACTGGCAATCCTGCTGTAACTTTCTCTTGCTTTCTTCATAAAAGTGAAAGTAGCTTCTTTAACTGAAAGAATTTCTGGTTGTATTTTTCTTAACCGAACTGTTTCTCCCACAATTATTATTACTTCGTTCTCATACACTAACTTCTGTTCGTTATTTTTATTATGCGCACTTTACATTCTATCTCTTCACAACTTCATTGTTATTGTGTAACTCATATGTATTTGGTGCTCCTTTTTACCAATTTTTATGTGCTCAAATAAATAAAATCAGTCTGTCATATTAGTTCGCTGTACGATTGTAAATTTGATCAAGTTTTTATGATTAAGGTGAGTAAGGATTATTGCACTGTGACTAAGTTATTGATCTCAGTCTTAATACTGCTTGTTCGGTGGATCCAATCTAATCACCAAAACAAGGAATTCGAAAATTGAGTGCTAAAGGTATCCCTCACTATCGAGTTAGGTGTTTGTATCTCCTCGATGGTCATTATGCAAAACAGTCCCAATAATTATACTTCTTTCTCGACCTATAATGCGAACACTTACTGTATGGTCCGTCAACACTTCAACCATAACACCGATTCCTATATCAGAAATCACTCCTTATATATCCATGCAATCGGTTGTGTTTAGGTATGTTTTAATTTTTTAGACGTTGATATCTGATTTCACAAGTGAGAGATTTTAATCCCACTATTCTGATTTAATTGTTAATTAATTGGCTAATTAGATATAACCTAGTTATCAATTACATACTTGTGTATGCGACTTCAAGACACAATTTGTGTGAAGATCATTAATAGTACCCAGCTGCCCAAACCGAAGTAATGGAAGCAAGATGTAGTTGTTTTCCTTTAATCAACCGACCGTTCTACTATCTAGTTATGATATCTAGTAAATATGCCTCATAACTTACCAGTATTGTAGATTTTTCTAAATTAGATATCTAACATAAGAATCATAAGTGCTGTTATATAGCCATACTTTATATCGTTTATATATATATATATATATATATATATATATATATATATATATATATATACATACATATTAAACATTTAAATAATTTTCAGAGTATTTCGACAAGGAATTTACGAACTTGAATTACATCCTTTGGAACCGTTAGGTGTTTATCGACTAGAGGATGTTGAAAAATTAGTAAGGGAACCTACTTTTGACTCAAAACCTTCGAATATGGATACCATGAACCAAATCCTTAAGGTTTGTGATAAAAGTGACACTTTTTATTGAGTTTTCTCATCTTTTACTATGACAGTAAAAACAAAGTATCTATAAGTACTTTCTTATTCTGTTTTATTGGATGCAATGAGATTTGATAGTGTTACCTGACTTCTTGGTTTGAAATAGATTGAATGAGGGTTCGGAGAACGCTGACAGTTGTGAAAACTCTTGGCTTCCGACTAATAAATCACGGTTTCGAACCCCACTCTGGCTTCCGTGGTTTAAACAATATGTTAGTATTGCTAACTCTCACACACCAAGTGTAGCTCAAAGCCATGTACACAATCATGTACTTGGTGAATGATGAATGAACAAGTTGGAGTTCGAACCTATGGCTTAGTGATAAATATTGAGTTGTCTAAACCGCAAGTGGTACTCTATAGCTAAACAATTTCTTTTAGTATTCAAGGGCTTTTTGGCTTCCAAAGTTTTCGTTGCTCTTTAGCTTAATTTGATTTTGATAAGGACATTTCAGAAAGAAGATCATTTTCTTTTGTATTCCAAAGTTTTGATCATTTTTGTTGATTTTTTCTTAGTCGATCTGATGAGTGTTTAAGTTTGTTTAGAATTTTATGCGTCACGTATGTTTGGAGTAGGGAGTAGGGTAGTATACTTATTACAAACTCTAAGGCCCAGATTTTCAGTCGCAGATTTACTTAATTATTATGCTATGGTCCTTCACTATAGGTGGTCGGTTTTCAATCAATGATTTGATTCCTTCGCTTATTGAGGCTTAGAAACCTGGGTAGTTTCATCAGTCTGCTTCCAATGGATACACGGACACATTTGTCGTCATTATTTTGCATCCCATTTATTATTTATCCGTGACTTAAGTTTTAGAAGATGTGAGCACGAAGAAGGATTATAAAAACACTGTAAATGAAAGGAACATATAAGATAGTACGAATAGTAAGTGGGGAAAACTAATCACTAATATATTTAAATTGTTTATCAGGTACAGATCAGTTTCCTCGGCTTTGACTCTCACTCTGTGTAAAAGCTAGTGATACTACATAGTTGCCAAATAGAAGTAATTGGAGCAAGGTTAGGACTTGAGACTTAGTGTTTGAATGTTAGACGCTTTAACCACTAAGAGACCTCTCCAAACTATAGCTAAATCTGCTTCACTATCATCAGTGGCTTTGCTTCTAATGAATTCGATAACATCGCTTATATTGTTGCATAAATTACGATCACTGCTACACAGAAAATCATTCAGATATTTATAATCAAACAATCAGTTTTCATTGGTGTTTACTAGGGTATTGAACTAAAAAAATGTTATTGAAAGTTTTGACGGAAGTTCGAAGAAAGTGATTTCAATCCTAATTGATCTCTTCCTCGTAAGTGTTTATGTACATTTCTAATGGTTTTCTTTACACATACTATTCTATTAGACGAACCGTAAACACCTTCGTAATGAATTGTTAGAAACACCATTAGACCGACATTGTATGCCAGATGTGGAACATGCGGTTGATGAGGCGAAACGAGCTAGTGGACGTTTATTCCTTAGTGTAAAATTTGAGTTTTCACGAAGCTATCCATCTGTGTATATGCCTGTAATATTTCAGCGTCCAGTAAGTTTTTACTGTGTTTTTAAAATTTTGTGTAAATAAAATTGTTAAAACAAATCAAGGAAGGGACGTCTAAGGTATTCGTTATGTGGAATGATCTGAAAAGGTGATTACATCTTCACTGAAAATGTTCTGGCTCAGTCGTCAAAGGATTTGGCGTCTAAATATTGATTCATAGCTTACATGCCTGCTTTACATAAAATACCATAAACCCCAAAAGTAATTAATAGTTCTGTAAATGATTATAATATCGGGTAGTGAATGCCATATGTATTCCACAACATTTTAGACTCTCACATATTTGTTCATTGTTATTTCTATGGTTACGAGCTTAATATTTTCATAAACTAATTAAATGTACAGTCTTGCGAATCAAAATCGCTGCATGACTTGCTTAGCTGTTATCTTGTATAATGAGAAAAATCTGAAAAAAAGTGGAATAAACCACAAGTATCATTCAACAAATATAGAATAAAAATTCATTCAAATTTTATAATAATAAAATTTGTGAATGTTTCAATGATAACAATTTCTCCCTTATGTCTTATGATATCCCTATCGACTGTTAGTGAAATTCCATAACGTAATCTACTTTGATCAATACCCTTACACAAATCCATTACAAAATATTATTATTTTGAAGGAATTAGGTTTATGTAGTTTTCTAATGTTGCCTACTTTCGATAAACAACTGGATTACATTCATATAATTAGTAAAAATAAACTATTTCATATTCTGCTATCTGGTTAATTGTTAAAATAGAATAGAGATGGAGCGTTAACATATATATGCTAATTGCAAGACATACGCAGATCATCAGATTTTCGTCAAATTATTCGAATAATTCCATTTTGTCCACTAGATTTGTGTTCTAAGTTGTAAAGCCCATACTACACTACACTGCAATAATTTTATGTATTTTTTTCCAAAATTAGTTAAACCATTGTAACACGTAGCTACATAATATTGGAATCAGTTATTATGACCTTGTATCCGGAAGAATTTTCTTTCACATTGTCATAGCTGTTTCATTCTTTTCTTCTGTAGTTTCTACCTGAACAGTCAGAATTACGAGCTGATCGAGTGAGTTGTTGTCTGCTTATATTTCTTCATTCAAGACACTTGTTAATTAATCATGGCTTTATGATAAAATCACATCATTCATAAAAAATAATTGTTAAACAAATTTTTTTTTCGTGAAATAAATGTGACTTACAGCCTTGGACATGGACTAATTGTTGGTTCGTTATTCACAAAAGCTGATCAGTTGTTTATCTTACTAGCTTCGTGGTAAATACTGAAATGATAAGCTGCCTGTATTTCCTAAGTGAATGGTAGCCGACCACTTTAAATTTTTATGGAAGGTACAATTTCTACTACTATTCATACTAATCGGAACTACACTTTGTCTTATACTTATGTTGTTCATATGTATTTCCTTAATTTTCGTGACAATTTTCTGTCACAGACCTATCCGGTGTCCTAACTGAAATACTTATAGAGAAAACTGAATGTCATCTACAACTCTAAGCAAAAGTAACAGACAGAGTAGCCTCCCCGTTTACATAAATTTGCATTAACAATGAACGTCGCAAGATATTTTCGATCATATTATAGCGCATAGGTGATTATGGACACTGAAATGTCACTGCAAATTGTAAATAGAAGCAATACAAAATAGACTGGAGAGTCTCCTAAAACTAAACGTCTAAGCCATTCAGCATCTAATGTGAAAAATGACCATAGGCTGAAAGAATCTTTACTTATTGGGAGAACTTACAAAGCATTTACATAATACCTACACATTGCCTTGGATCGTCCATTCGCGTCTTTTAGTATGTTTTGAATTCTGAACATTCTTCTCGTCCGGTCTTCCAACGTCATGCTTTCTCTGTCCTGAAACTCTTCATTCCGTCCGACAACTTCGAGACCATGTTCCGTAATATACTACTTGCAAGCAACGTTGCGAGTAGCGTTCAGTGCAATTCTAAATAAATTTAAATAAACTCAATTTATCTGTCGATTAGAAGAATGATAATCAAATAAGAAGTTAGGGGTATACCTGGGAAAAATGGTAATTAAATAGTATGTCGAAACAGTGATATCACAATTACTCGTTACAAGCAATCTTATATCTTATCAACCGAATAATCTGTTAATTATTTGTAGAGAAATACTAGGACATCAATTCTTTTTTTAGGTTTGTATTAGTGATATTGCCTAGAAATTCAATCAGAGCTTTGTGATTAAATGATCCGACGTAGTGAACGCAATTCTTGAAAAACTCAGCTTGTGAATAATTTAAGAACTGGTTAAGTCATTGAAATAACTTAGCGGTCAGTTAGCAGTTAGTGTTTTAAGCCAGGTACTTAGTCTAATTAACTTGACAGTTTAGTGCATCCCTTAGCCAACCGATCTTATGATGTGACTGAGACTGTATGACTGGGAATTATTTTATCTGATAGGGCCTTATTAGACTTTTAATACTCCTTGATTCCATACAAAATATGAGGTGACTTGGACTAATATTTTATGAAAACACTGACATATGATTATTTTCATTCTTTTATGTGTTATTTATATTATGTTTTATCATTTGTTGTGAATTATTGTTAATTATGTCAGAAACAATTTTCACTTTTTTTTCCTCTAGTGGAATCCAGTAGATGAAAAGTATTTTAAAATGACACGTAATGCTCGTACAGCTGACGTGGATCGTGCACGTAAACCTAATAAAGACATATTAGATAGATTGAAAGTCAGTTTATTCATCTTATTATTTATTTGTTTATCACTTCTTATTGTATTTCTTGGTTAACATAGCATGAGTATCAACGGTTAAATGCTTGATTAAATTTATTTTTCATTTTTGTTGTAGAGGTTGTAGTAAGCGGTGCAATTAATTAATTCAAATCTGTCAAGTTTTCATTCTTAAATAACTGCTAATAAATCAGGCTAGTATTTATGTACTAGACTTTAGAATACACATAATATAGATACTTCTCAGCTTCTCTAATGTAAGTAGATTAAGCGGTATCACAATTTACGATTTAATAAGATCGTTCTTGGTGTTGAGTGATTTTAGTAAATCATAATTAACTGTAAGAATATTTTGTTTCGTAAATCTCTAATAATATTGACACATACAGAATTTACTAAATATTATTTAAAACACGAAGTTCAGCAAAGAGATCTTTTCTCAACGAATTTATTATCAAGCTGTACAGTATGTGAGATTTTTTAAAAAGCATTAATTTAGTAAAGACATGTGAATAATGAATAAACATAATGATTGTAAAACTAGATTCTATAGTGTAAATAATAACAATAAAAGAATGTCTATGTGCAAATAAAAACCCGTATAGAATGAATACGTTAACATTTATTTATAATGTGAATAGAATAAAATAATTAAAATGTTTTCTTGTCATAATAATCAAGGGTCTTAGAGGGGTTAAATGAGATGAAGTAATATCAGAAACAGTTATCAGTAAAATCATGGGGATACAAGAAATAATTAAAGAAAGAGAGAGATTTTCAAATATGAAATCAATAAAATGAAAATAAAGTAAAAATAACAGTTGAAGTTCATGGTAAAGACAACAATAAGACGTACTTTTGTATATACACACTTCATCTCATGGATGATGACAGCTTTCCCCTTTTCTAGGGATTGAATACGAAGAAATCCTAGTAGATTTGGATGAATTCTATAAACAACCTTAAAATCAACCTGTGAATCAGTGGAATGGTTAGAATGAATTACATGTTTTAGAATAGAATTGAAAGTTTTCCCCTCACCTTTGTAAAACCATACTGGAACATGTTCTCGTATCTGAGTTGAAAGCAAGCTCTGACTACTGCCTATGTACCTTACTCTACAAGAGCAGGCGAACTGACAGATCCACGTAGAGACGACTAGACTAAGAGAGCTTATCGTTTACGAATACTGAAAATAAATTTCTGTTTGTGAACATTAGTCTCAGATTTGCTGCATAGAACATTCTTTTTAATTTAGTATAGACTAAGCTGTAAAATATTGTTAGAGATTGTTTATTGACTGAAGATGGCTTATTTCACTTACTATCATATTAATTATCCCTTTGAATACTTGAATCTAGGGTTTGAAACTACTTCACCCTAGGCATCGCTCCTTTTTTTCCGCCATCACGACTGTCTTTTGATGTTTAATTTATTGGTCCTTTTAACACGTTCTATTTCACCCTAATTTAAATAATATCGTTGATGTATTATACTCAATAGTTGCTATCCCAACTCAATTTCTTTTATTTTGGTTGCTACGCACAAACGTTGCATTTAAGGTTTGTCCTTTAGATTTTTAAAATTGAAGGTGGAAGATACAAAGTCGCAAGTGCTCACAATTTAAATCAGCCTGTGCCACGAGAAATTCGAAACATGATACGAAGTTTTGTGATCTTAAAATACTCTTCACTTCAAGCGTTTTGATTATCAACCAATTTTAGTCACTGATTAATTAATTCAATTTATTTGTGTTCATAGTTCAATTAATTTAGTTTTCATGTAACTGCTGAACTAGATCTATCACTATAAACTCTTAATTAATTTTTTTTTCATTCATTAAGCTTGTTCTTGATTTACCACCAGGATTAAATATATCCGAATCAGATGGGGATCTTATCTGGAAGTATCGATTTTATTTAGCTGATAAATTCCCTGAAGTAAGATTTATTGTTACCTATTTTTAATAAAACATTTTACATTTTAAGTGTTGGATTTTAGACCTTACTCTATACTTGCAGCTGAGTCATGTAAACGAATGTTAAATCAAATGCTTACTGTAAACTAGGAAGCAATGACTCAGCTCTGTAGATTACTGGATCAATGCTGCAATTCAAATCGGCATATTGAAGAGTGATCATGATAATAATTGCTTTATTCAATATCATAAATTTTCTGACTGGGGAATGATGCAGTATTACGACAAATTTATCGTTAATGTAAATTGTAATTACTCGAAAATATATATTTCATAAATGTTTTGCAATAATTGATTACTGGAATTTATCTTTAATCGGAAATGTTTTTTTCTTAAAAATAGTTGATTAGTGGTTGAAATAATCTATTACAGCTATTATCTTTACCCATCATATAATAGGCGTATGAATCCCAATGTAATTACCCTTCGATCCTTCAAAGTATGAAGTAGGAGGAAAATATACAAATTACCGTAGTAATTTTGAGTAATTTTTCCAATAATTAGTAGCACAGTAATTTTTAAGAACTTGCAGCTGGAAACAGGTATTGGTAATATAGATCTTTTGTCAGGAGGAAGTGTTTTTGTCCTTGAATTTGCGGATGATTTTGTTTTACTGTGCGATACTACCCAAGCCATGCATTTCGCGCTTAATCAATTGAGAATCAGTGTTGGTAGGTATGGCATGTGTTTTAAACCTCCTAAGTGTAAAGTACTTCTACAAGACTGGGATAACCCTGAATCTGTACTCAACCTAGGTACTTAACAAATAGGACTTGTCGGGAAGTTCGTGTATCTGGGTAAATGCGTAAGTGCTGGTGGTGACGTGAGTGATGAGACCAATTCACGTATGGTGAAAGCCAAAGTGGCTTATGCAAATGTGGGCCATCTTTGGCGCTTTCGTGATGTTAGTTTGGCTGTAAAATGTCGGATCTACAACGCGTTGGTGAGCGAAGTTTTGCTCTATACTTGTGAGACATGACTTCTTCAATTTGAGAATGTTAGATGACTCTCTGTGTTTAATCATCGTTGTCTCCGAAGGATTACTGACATCCAACGGCAACATCATGTTAGTGATTTAGAGATTCGTCAGTGTGTGTTCTTGCACAATGACAGTAATTTATCTGGTGCCAATCATGAAACACTGACTTCAGTGACTTGGATATGTGTTAGGATAGTCGGAAAAAGAGACCAATAATTATCATGTTAATTTCAATGGTGTCCTTGGACTTTAAATGTACATTTCCTATTGGTCGATATTTGTTCACTTGTTGAATATTGTACAAAATGTTGTTTTCTATTTTATGGTACGATGTGGTATGCTTGGTTGGTATATAAACAAAGTATGTTTGAAATATAATGATTCATAACCCAGAGGCTGTGACTCGTGTTCTTGACTCAACTGGCTGGGACAGACAGCGAGGCAGGGCCAATCAGGGCACTAGGTCGTCCCTTACGTGTTTTCCGTGTCACTCTCACCGAATCGATCAATAAACGCTGCTTATCAAGACCTGCAGTCACACCCGTTACAACAATATGTACTACAAATTTCGTCTCAATCAGTTCCACATCTTGTATTATTTACTGACGCAGAAACTGATTAGAAAAAGAGGTGTAGTTGTCAGTGTATGACATGGTATCGTGGTATCAAAAAAACCGCTGGATTGGAATCTGTCGGTCCTTCACGACTCCTTAATTGGAGTCTTATAGATGGAAATTCTGTATCTGAAAGAATCCTTTCTTGTTATATGTTTCTTAACTGAACTGCTTCTCCCATTATTTACTGCTCTCGTTTATTTTTCATTTGACTTTTGTTTGTTTTATGCCACTCACCTTCATTTTTGAATCTCTTCGCAGCCTCATCTTATTGTTGTGGGGCATATTTATTCTGGTTCCTCTTTGTAATAATATTTGTATTTAAATAAAGTAGATAAGAACTTCATAAAATCCTATGGATGGATTCGGTTAGCATTCATAATTGATCAGTGGAAACAAATCTAAAATGGGAATGTTTACTCCTATATTTGTACAGTTGAAAATCAGATAGTCCTAATGTTTGAAAGGGTGGTTGTCGTATTGTTTTACCATTGAAACTGTGGATAAAAACCCGATTTTTAAAATTTCTAACTTCAGATACTGGTATTTAGTTTACTAACTAAACGTTTCTATATTTTTATATTCGTGTCATAATACAATTCAAATAAGAAGGTAGCAATTGGTTTAACAGTTTACGTGTTAATCTCTTTAGACATACTTGTGAAAATCAAAATATTATGAGAAATTATATTAAATTCTGATTTTGAATTTCGCTTTAAATTCCCTTCGATTGAAAAGTGCAGTGATCGAATCTTGCTAAAAAACGGTATACAATATTGCCCAATGTTGTATTCGAATTTATTCATCCATATTTAGTCTGTAGAGAGTTGTCGTTTATTGCAAGGCCATAATCGTGCCATACAAGAATGCCGATAAAACAGAATCCTCTGAATGCGTTAACTAAAAGTTTGAGAATATTTGCACTTAAAATCAAATAGATATAATATTTTGCAATGAGTGTTATCTCTATCACTTGGTTTAAAAAAAGGAAATGTACTAGTTGTCTTAGTTGATTGTCCTGGCGGGTTGGTTGCTGACAACTGAAGGTTCAGTTAGAGATTAAATGGCTAAGCTTCATTAGTCTTGGTCATTTGTAAAATATCAGAACAACCAATCATAAAGTAAGTCACAGATGCAATAGAAACACAATTAAAAATGATGTCAATTACTCATTAAAGAGAAGAGTTATTATATAAAGAATACCAGTGGAACGAACTGTAAGTAGGTTTGGAAACCATAATATACAAATATGGTCAGATGATATTTAGCAAGGGTATTCTTAAATATATTAGGAAAGAGAGTTAGATTAAAATTTTGCATTAGGATTCTCTGTGCACTAGCCCTACTCAAACCAGTCGGACTGTTTATCCTTTTTATATCTTCTACAGACTTCTTTAGCGAAATTCATTTTATCTGTTCGTTGGGAATATACAGAACAAGTGAATCAAGCTGTTGAATTGTTAAGACAATGGCCAAAAATAGCGCCTGAACATGTCCTAGAACTGTTCACTCGTCAATTTCTTCATCCTGCCGGTAGAAGATTTGCTGTACATCGTTTGGAAGCTGCCAGTGATGAGGTATGTAACTATTGTTTCCTTAAACTGTTGAAGACTTCTTTATCATTCAAATATTCGTATTAGAACTGTAATTATTCATTTAGCAATGTTATAGAGTGTTGATGACTTGTTGTAGATAGAGGGTTCTGTTGTTGAATCTTTTAGTTCGGTTTGCTTGAATGTTAGTAAATGCTGATTTTGTCATTATAAGCTATGTTCGTCTTGCCATTATTAATAGATATTCCTTCAAGCTCTTGAAGGTGTCCCCATGTAATCTGAATAGATTACTGTAGTTACTACTTATTCGTCTTTAATTCTGAATTTAGATTGCTTTACTGGAGAAATTTACTAGTTATATGGGTAATAGAAGTAACTGCTATATTTACTAACAACCAGATCGTTAACAAAAATATCATGTGTCAAATGGTCCGATCAATGTAGGAGGTAGAAAACCAAGTTCATCGATAGCGAAACATATGATTGAGACGGGGCACGAAATTGACATTAATACAGCATTTAGAACGTTGTATAGAAATTATCAAGGACGAATTCTTAAGTTTATTGAAGCCTTGGCTATTCGTACATTTAAACCCCCCTTATGTGTACAAAAACAATTTGTCGTAACCTTGAATTTACCTTGGTAATCCTTAAGTCATTCTATGGCTTAGGATAACGCGACAATTTCTTATCCTTTCTCTCCCCTTGGTTATTTTTAATTGAACTTCTATTTGTTTGACCTTTATTACTTTCATATAAAAATGCCTTGACAAGTATATGTGTGACCAGATTGTTCGAAATATATAGCGCAAATACATCACATTTTTCAGATCAAGTCCGTCTTCTCATTGTTCTATCGAAATTTATAAAAGGGACTAATTGCTTTAAAAATATCAAAGCAATTCAAAGTTTTTTTCAACAAAAAAAGAAAGGCGAGTGGCAGACGTTTCATATAGTGCTCAATTTCTCAAACTTAAATAGGAAGGAACTTGAATGATTTATTCACCGATCGCATTTGACTCCAATCATTTTTCACATAATGAACACACAAATTTCAATTCTACGCCTCCACATTACAAATTGTACATTTTTCGTATCCATCAGCATATTCACAAACATACCCGGTGATGCGTCTCACACGGAATCACATTGACCGATGATTCAATGGACACTGACATAACCAGATCTATTTTGATTTGATTTATATTGAACTAAATATTTAATCTAGTTGTTTATTCATTCACTCTGAAGAATTGGCTTGAATCAAGTTACGAGACGTCCAAATTTCTACCCACTGAAATATCACTATATTTTTATTATTAATGATATTAACCGTTTTGTCCCTGTAGTTTAATAAGCGAAAACATAAATAAGAGTTTAACAAGAAAGCAGTAGCTAAGATACTTACTCGATGAACCGCTAACTGGTTCAGCTTATTAAGTTCGAGAGATCAGAAAACTAGTCTAAGGCTTTTTCTACTAGATTTTATTTTCAAATTAATGGGTATGTAACTTGTTTATTAGATCTTAAAGTAAAAGTTTATTATACTGAAGATCTTGAGCGACTTATCCAATTAGGGAATTATGTTTATTTGTAAAAATAATTAATAAAATTACAGTGGAATAGTAGTTTTGATATGAATAATTGACCATTACATGTTGAATTTTCATACACATAGTTCCCTTTATTATCTTAAATAGAGCAAGAACAAAGATTGGTGCAGAATAATATGAATTCATTTTATTTCGTTAGGTTCTCATCAGCTGCTTACAACCTAAAATATTTAAAATTCAACATTATTACAGATATTGACATATTTATACATAAGAGTGTGATTAAGGATCAATACATATGTATGATGATGTAGCAAGCAAAGATTCAGATAGAGTTAATGAGCTCATAAAATGTTTGGTTCGAATAAATAAATAAAGTTAGAAAGGGAAAGTTCCAGAACATTGAAATAGTGATTAGAACTCATGAAAATAGATTAATGGTAATAAAGAAAATATGAATTGAAATCAATCAGTTATGTATGATGTAATTTATATTTCAGAAAGAGTTGCAATAATGACGTAATAAATAAATAAATAGGAGCAAATTAATAGAAAGAGTGAGGGTTATTGTTACCAGGGTAAAGAAAGATTTATTACCGTCTCTTTTTGTATACATAGATCTGGTTTTAAACGTTTGATTGCTAACGCTTCAGCGAATTTCAAAAGGTTCGAGTTTGATTGTTTGTTAATCACCTTGAAGGACTTCAGTATATCAGCTTTATGTCCTGTATCAAGGAGATGTCTTGCGATAGCACTGTTGAATGAGTTCAATCCATTCAATCTTAAACTTTTCGGAATATGTTCTTTGAATCGGACGTAGGCTCTCCTTTCTGTTCTACCAATGTAACTGCTTTGGCAGGTACATGTAAATTTGTATACACAGTTGGTGGTAACATGAAAGGGATACCTGTCGACCTTTGATTGTGTCAAAGAACATGTTGTTTTGGACAGGACAATCAATTTCGCTGCAGGATAGGTTCTTGTCAGTGCAGTTTTTAGTCTCATATTGATTGATCCTGTGACATCGTCACCTTTGAATTGAAGTTTAATAAAAATAGGCTTTTTATTTGCTGTAATTTCTTTCAGTTTTTTATCTTCACATTTGCCGTATTTCTCAATAAATTTCAGTGGGTATCCGTTATTCTTTAAACATTTTTTAACATTCATAACTTCCTCTTCTAGTGTATCGGAAGTACATATTCTTTCTGTTCTGTAAAACAGTGTTTTGACCAGTGCCTTTTTGTAACTGATTGGACAAAAGCTATTGAAATTAAGATAACTACCATTCCATGTGTCTTTCTTATAAACTGAACGTTGAACTGTACCATCTTTTCTTCTTTTCATCGCGATATCGAGAAAATGGAACTTGTTTTCTTTTTCATGTTCCATAGTGAAATGGATATTCGGATGTGCTTCGTTGAAAAACTCTAGCAGATTTATTGCTTGTTGTTTATTATTACATACGATGAAGGTATCATCAACATACCTCGAATAATACGTCATTTCATCAATCGCTCGTTTGAGTTTGGTTCTTTCGAGGTTAGCCATGAAAATATCTGCTAGGACAGGACCTAACGGACTTCCCATCGCTACACCATCGGTTTGTTTGTATATGATATCGTTGAACTGGAATTGAACATCTTTTGTACAAATGAGTAATAGTCGTTTGAATTCTGGTACTGGTAGAGGTAGGATGTCAGAATGTTGACAAATTATGTCTATGGTCTCAAGAAGTGGTATTTTTGTAAACAAAGATGTTACATCAAAAGAAACCATAAACTTATCAGCAATATTTATGTGATTCATGCTGTCAGCAAATACAAATGAATCCTTTAGCGTATAGGTGGCTAATCGTTGACGCACTGGTTCTAACTTATCTGCTAACCATCGTGCAACTTTGTGGTATGGTGAATTGATCATTGACAAGATAGGTCTAAGAGGATAACCTTGTTTATGTATTTTTGGTAATCCATACATGTGGGGCAAACGAGACCCACGAGGTCGTAGATTATTGTAAGTAGAGTTATCGATCATCTTCTTTTTCAGAAGATCTCTGAGTACTTTGGTGATTCTTTTCTCAATGGAATCAGTTAAGTCTTTGTTACTTTTCTCTAACTTGAATCTCATATGGTCATTCAAGATGGACTTCATCTTAAAAACATAATCTGTTTTGTTCATTAGAACAACACTTGAGCCTTTGTCTGACCGTAATATCATTATATCGTCATTTCGTTTAATATTTCGTAATGCTGTTTGGTGGTCTTTGGATAAAAGCTTAGACTGTGGTGCGGGTGAAACAAGATATTGGTTTGCAATATCGACTAATTTAGATTTAAACCAGCCTTTCTTTTCTTCACTAACTGGGTGCAACTCTTTAATTTGATCAAATAAATTCTCAAATTGAGTTTCTGTGTCGATTCTGTCGGCATGTGTTTTGGGAATATGAAATTTAAATCCAAGTGACAAGGCTTCTGTTTCTATCTGATTTAACTTCATTGTTGATAGATTATAGAGAAACTTTTCGGGGTTTTCCGGAAAGCCAAAACATAATTGTTCCTTTGACAGCGTCTTTGACAAAGTTACGTGGAAATTCTTGCATATTTTGCTTTGCAGATCTTGTATAAAGTTGATAAATTTTATGCGACATACGATACTTAGATTGTTGATTAAATCATCAAAGGCATTAGTTTCTGCCCTCAAACGTTCAATCAGTAACTTTGTTGATTCAATGTGAGATTTTGTGATGCGTCGAAGATTTTTAAGAGAAGGCGGAAGTTTAAATGAGCGTAAAGACTTTAGGAACTGACGTGGGAAACGGCATGACTTAAGACATTCATCAAAAAACTTTAGTCGAGTTATTTCTCTCGATATTCTGCAGCGTATTGTCACCAGGCGATTCAGTGACTTGAATGACTGTGCAGGGAGACGCATTTTGAGAAATTTCATACACATAGTTCCCTTTATTATCTTAAATAGAGCAAGAACAAAGATTGGTGCAGAATAATATGAATTCATTTTATTTCGTTAGGTTCTCATCAGCTGCTTACAACCTAAAATATTTAAAATTCAACATTATTACAGATATTGACATATTTATACATAAGAGTGTGATTAAGGATCAATACATATGTATGATGATGTAGCAAGCAAAGATTCAGATAGAGTTAATGAGCTCATAAAATGTTTGGTTCGAATAAATAAATAAAGTTAGAAAGGGAAAGTTCCAGAACATTGAAATAGTGATTAGAACTCATGAAAATAGATTAATGGTAATAAAGAAAATATGAATTGAAATCAATCAGTTATGTATGATGTAATTTATATTTCAGAAAGAGTTGCAATAATGACGTAATAAATAAATAAATAGGAGCAAATTAATAGAAAGAGTGAGGGTTATTGTTACCAGGGTAAAGAAAGATTTATTACCGTCTCTTTTTGTATACATAGATCTGGTTTTAAACGTTTGATTGCTAACGCTTCAGCGAATTTCAAAAGGTTCGAGTTTGATTGTTTGTTAATCACCTTGAAGGACTTCAGTATATCAGCTTTATGTCCTGTATCAAGGAGATGTCTTGCGATAGCACTGTTGAATGAGTTCAATCCATTCAATCTTAAACTTTTCGGAATATGTCGGGCTAATGTTGTGAGTTTGCGCTATAAGCGCAACAATGCTTTGTAAACTTTTCCTTTACAAACCTAGAAAACTTATGGTTGATATTTAGTCAGAAGTTTACTATGTAGCTGCACAAACACTCTTGACTATGCATTAAGTCACTTGAAGTATATTAACTGAATCTGCTTCAGAGCAGGTATTTCTTGTAATTTGGCTTAAATGTCACTTCAAAGCAATTAGTCCCTTTGATAAATTTCGATAATGTAATAAGAAGACGAAGATTATCAGAACTATGTGACATACTAGCGCAATACATTTTAAACAATCTGATCATACATATACTATTTATATCTAAATGTTCTTAACAAGTTTATGTGTGATCAGATTGTTTGAAATGTATTGCGCTAATATATCACATAGTTCTGATAATCTTCGTCTTATTACATTAAATATCACTGTTTGATTGCATAGGAGATATTCCTTTTTATCAATTTCAAGCATTTCGGAAACAAAATATTGCCTATTTTCACTCGATCATTGATAGCATTTAAGCTATCTTGTTTTTCACTTTCAACTTCTCGCAAAACTCTATGAGGTGCTCTCTTAATTTTGATTGGTTTACTCAAGACTGTCACCTTGGTATACTTTTATCATTCTCACTCTACAGGATGATTGAACTCGATGGAAGTTAATAATTAGAGATATATAAACAGTGGATCAAATGTTTTTTACAGCCTTTATCAAATTGCAAACTTTCCAAGTTAGGAGGTCTAGTTTTGTTATATATATTACGTCTGTTACTGTGACATTGTTACACGTCATAACTTTTTAATTTAAACAATGTGGTCTCTATATCAAAGCAACAGGTCTTTTTCAAGTTCATTGTTATTGAGTAAAATCAACATTGTCCAATTCTAATACTGGTTCGAAACATAGAAGAAGGCTTTTATTGTTACTAGAACTAAACATTCCTTAGAAATGTTAGCTTACTTAAAGAACTATCCTAACTTCAAGAGTTGATTTCACTTACCTAAAGAGTTAAAAATGAGCCCGAAGGCCACTGGTTCATACTATACAAAAGAAATAGCATCAAACACACTACATTGATTGACAATTAGGATTTATTCTTATATCTATGTTTATATCTTTTTTGGGTTTTTGTATACATTGCAGACCATAGTTCTTCATTTTTTTAAAAGTAATCCGTCATCAGGTGTTAGGTCTCCTTAAACGGTATATGCAATGTTTTTTGTGTTCCTGGTACGTAGTTGTAGTGAGCTTGATGTCTTCCGAACACTGGTTAGAAGAATAAAATCTTTCTTCATGTACTTCGTTGAAGATAACCTTCACTCAACAAACAGGCATCAAACCTCGGTTTACGAATCTGTATTTCATAATTGTTTTGTAGTGTTTTTTCCTGAATGTAAAAACAATAATATGAACTTCCATCTATCCATTTAGGAACTTATTTTATACTTATATCAACTTGTACAAGCATTACGCTATGAAAATTGGCATGATATATTTTCAGTCCAACCTAAAAGAAATGATCGAACTTCTAAACGTAATGTTTCAGATGTTACAAAAGAAGGTAATTCTGAAGAGGTGAAATCTACAAATTTGACATCAAATCGTAAAATGCCATCATCTTTTCGTACTGGACGAGGTGGTGGTAAGTCATCATCCTGTTTTTATTTCATTCATCAACAGCATTGCAAAATATTGAACGCAGTCGTGAAGAATTAATTGGATGGCATTCTGATTTAAAAAAGGAATGGAAAGTAAGTTAACTCTGTTTATATTTGTGCATTTTGATTTTTAGTATCTAATAATTTCATTTACTTTTTCATTGGGTTATTTTTTACTTAATAATATGAATCGTATTTGTTGTATCAAGGGATCGTACCCTTGTACCAGCTTCGGTATTCACCTTGTTGAATGTAAGTAATATCGAATGCAAATCACTTGTTGGATATCCATTTAACTCACTACCCCTTCCACTAAGATAAAACTAACAAGGTATCAGGCGATGAATTTTTTCTATACATTGCTCTCTCTCTTCCCCGAAATGTCCAGTGCTCATAACCATATATTAATTGACTAAGAAAGCTGTGTACTTTGTCGACTTTTTTATTTATTCATGAATGTCTTTGTCTTTAAGCCAGTTGACTTCGTTAGCTTTTAATTCATATAACCAACCACCACCAAGTGGTCACAGTTATTATGATTAAATACCAGAGTTTGATTATCAATAAACAAATTACATTGTTATTCTTAGTTAAAGAGACTTTGGGTTTCGAAATGAGTTTTTATTTAACTGTGATCTGACAGCAAACGATCAAGTGATCTAAGTTATATAAAATGTTGAAAGTCTTTAAACCACTAAAATGAGTGATCTATGTGAATATCTAAATGATACCAAGTAAATCTCATCTTCAGTCACATTTAACAACGGAACCGTCTATGTATATAATACCAACCAATTTTAAACCATTTAGTCTCGATACCGTAATTTGAGAAAATCCTAGTATCTTCCAGGAAAGAGAAACGAAGTTATAGTCTCGAGGTTTGAAGCTTATAAAGTGTACTATGTAGCATTGTTTATTTACAAAATATATTTTAGTTTAACTTATTATTATAAATATGTTAGTATAATGGATTTGTGGAGATTGAAGAATTCTCATAGTTTAAATCACGAATTAATCTTAGCTAGGCAACCATTGAAAACCTGGAAGCATTAAATAATGGTGTTGTCGCAGTATGGGACTCCCCAGCAGTGTTAATCCACAACTTTGCATTCGGGAGTCGGACCTAGAGCCCTTGGTCTCACGCGCCAAAGCTTAGCTTCTAGATCACCACTGAGTTGGCATCCAACGGTGTTAATATCTAACTTCAATTAATTCACGATATTTCAGAACTCTCATCCATTACCTTTAGTAGATAACTATCTCACACGCGACACGATTGAACTCCTGTAACCACAGCTTCTTACTAGAACCCCTGGATTTGGATCATGAAGCTAGTCACTAGTGAGCACATAATTATTATTAGTATATGAGGATTTGTAAAGACTGTTGGATTGTCATAATTAAAATCACGAGTTGATTTCAGTTACTGATGCAATGATCTGAAATATGGAAGTCATTGAAATTGGATAAAACAAACAGACTTTGAGTAGAATGATCTCAGAATCTTTAGATATTGTCACGAGCACAATACCGTTGAGTCATAGAGTTTAATGTTCACAAGTGCACATATAATTTTAAACAAGCCATCGGACTAGTTACAAAACTTTTCTCCAAATATATATTTTCTTTTATAGGAAGATTTAGCCACTTTCCTTATAAGACGTGCTCAATTAAATTTTCGTATTGCAAATTACTTGTATTGGTTTTTACGATTAGAAGCAAACAGTAATGATGGTGAAGATGATTTCTGCGAACGGGATAGAGTAAATCCACCCGATACTCAAAAGATGTATAAACATGTTTTGAATAGACTTTTACATGCTTTTGATGCTGTGAGTTTTTACCATTTGGTGGATGTACAGTCTTGATATTGTTGTCACTTTTTTTAAACACATTGTTCTGTTGAATTTATAACTTTAGGGATACTTGAAATTAAGACGTAACTGGACTGCACGACTGCACATCATTAACAGACAATAAGTAGCTTGAAATAGTGCAGTGAGGTTTCATTGTAGCATTTACTGGTTTCCGGTTATGAAATCAAGACTTATGAATTAGGAACCTTAATGTTTCTGTATTTGACTGGTATCCGGAAATACTACTTTCTAGTTACTTTCTGGTTTTTCAAAATTATTCAAAAGTGGTCGATATCTAACCCACCTAATCTCTATATTTCCTGTTTGAATCTAGACGAGAAGATTCCAAATGAACGTATGAGTATGCTATAAACATAAATCTTCCATTTAACTCCTAATATTACCCAGTCTAACCTCGTTTATGAGACGGCGGTATTAAGAAACCTAACTCGGATTAAGTTGGATGAATTTATTTCAGTTACACTTATATGCCGATAGACATTAAAAATAAGAAGCGGGAAAACGAAGCGAAGTGGAGAAATGAAATATGCCGACTCGTTTTGACGAATCGTGATACAATATTTATAGTTAGGCAAAAATAAGCTGAAGACATTATGAATAGAGTACGTGATGGACACATATTTTCATATAAAAGCAGTCTACGTTATAAGCGAATAATTAACAAGGTCGAAATGTAACTCGAGAAAAATAAGTAAATTGGTCTGTCTGGAAGCTAGAATAACCCATGTCGGCTTGACATAGGGCTAGACACTACAAGTTGAATGAAAAACACTACTGGTATGCATGGTAAGTAGTTTAATGTTACTGAGAGCAAACGTTTGATTTTATTATCGACACCAATCTGGTGAAGGAATATCGATCATTAATCTTGTCAGTTTCCGGCTTGCGTTGATCATTATTGTCTATAACTTTTAACCGATCATTTTTCCTCGTAACACCAAATTTCTTGTTACTCTGTAAGTGCTTTTGATATTTATCTGGTTTCTGTTAGGATTAGAATGATAATTCTGATAGTAGCGGTGTTGATCGAAGCGTTTATTTTATTAGCTTTGGAAATAACAAACACATTTTGATAAGTGCATCTCAAGTATCAACACCATTAGAAAGTTGAAATATTACAAAGCAATATGCTCTGAAATTTCTCAGTGGTCAGGTTTCTTGAATTTCTTATCTATGTTTGTACTTTCCCTCTGTCGTTGCTTTAGTGTTAAAACGAACATACACGGTTTGCGATTCTGGTACTTCATGCTAGAGGACTAGACACTATAAAATTATATCAATAGAACTGATCACAGATATAGATTAGTAAACTTAATAGAACACGGTACTTAATCGTATGACACTCAATTTAAATTCCCGAAAGCCGATAGATAACCAGGTATTGTTGAAAACGGAAACATATCAATGTACAATGTAAAGTAGTTAACAAGTAATCTCAAATTATAACGAAAGTGAAGCCAGTTTTATTTATACGATAATCTCTTGTAGTCATGGTAGGCGGATATATTTGTCTTCGCTCATTGGTTAATCACGATTTATTTTGATTGGTAACACCAGGTTTGTGTTGATATACGAGCTCTCTAAATGAAAGCCTCATTATTAATTCTATTTAAAAGTTAATTATTGTTTGACGCTTGAATAGATGGTTACTAGTTTTAAATTTCGCTGTGGATATCAGTACTGCGACAGGAGTACATTCGACTGGTTAGTCCTAAATAGGAAGAAATAATTATCCTGGATTTTACTGCTAACTGCTGTCCGAAATAATTGTTAAGTATGTATTTATGAGTGATCATTGGATCCAATTTAGTTACAAGGTATTTTTCTTGATCCTATCTAATGTAACAGTGGTTTAGTTGATTATCTCTTTATTATAATGTTTCCGTAAAGTATAAGAGTTGAACTTCTCATTAACTTGGTTTCTTTGTGTTTTTTCCCAACCAATTAATATATAGGGTAGTCCTACTTGTCAAAAATGGAACATAGAACTACTACAACAAACACAATTCATTCAAGATTTATGCCGGTTGCTAAAATCAGTTACCAATGATTTGGGTAATCGTTCACGCAAAGTAATTCAATTTTATGTGTTCTCCTATTCATTTGAAAAAACATAATATATTCAATAAGAGAATTTTATCTTTCTTTTAATTTGCACCTAAGTAACTACTAATTTACATCTCAATATCCATGTAGCTATGATTCTTAGTGTGTTTTTAATAAACTAAGTTTAATGAATGATCCCCATTTATTTTATTAAGTCTAATTCTTATTTGAGTTCAATAAAGAAACATTAAAGTCAGTCTATTCAATTGTTTCTTTTTTACTGGTTCGTTCACGTATTTTACCTATAATGTTCCATCTGGAACCTCTCACTTTTTACTTCTATATATGGTTTCCTTAGTACAAGACCAATGGAATAATTGTGTCTTTCTTAAACATTCATCATACTTTATTCACTATTTGATGCTAAGATTTTATTTAAACACTAAATACGTACTTTTCACAACCAAAGCTCACCGATTAAAATCTGGATCATATTGTATTAATTCATTAAATATTCCCATTGAGACAATAAAAAGACAAGTTCAGCAAGGAAATATTTTTTTCACGGAGTTCTTCATCAAGGCTCTACACTAATGCATATGTTTTATAAGTTTGTAGAAAGTTGATAGCAATTATATGGTTGTGAGTCAGTTTGCCTAAATACTAATCAGTTATTTTATATAGCGTTTGAAAAAATCAGATTAAGATTAAAACTAAAGTGGATTTTTATAATAAGTTAATTATTACAAATAGTTAGATAATTAAAATTGGGTGTAAATATAAAATTTTAAGAGAAGGGAAAGAGAAGTTTCGAAACATGTAACAGTATCTTAGTAGAAAGCTAAAGTAAACTCAAAGGCTGTCTAAACTCCTTGTACATACACAAGTTAGGTTTTTCGATATGTATTCATATGGCTTCTATCATATGTAAGAGTCGGACTCTAGAACCATAGGGTAAATTCGGAGAGATGTTATAAATAACGCTGTCGTTTTATCTATGCAGTGACCAGTATCGACTAGATTCAGCAACATAGAGCTTCTTATTACTTTCTTCTGTCCTTTGGTCGAGCATGAAGGGCGATGTTCAGAAATACGATGATGCATTTGTCTAGTTGCGCTCCCATAATAAATAGCTCCACAAGAGCAGTTCAAATTAAACTAACTAGGTATGATAAAAAGATGTTTTTGCTGATGCCGGTGTTCATGACATTAGTAAAGTAAACGAGTAAATTTGGTGTATATTTATTGTACATTCAACTTATTTATTTATTTATTTTTGCTTTAATGTATAGATTGAATTGCTAAGATCAAAGTTGGATAGTGAAGAATATACTCATATTAGGCATATTGATAAACCATTCCCACTTCCTCTAAATCCGGATATTATTGTATGCGGTGTACAGTCGTCTACAGCTACACTATTCAAGGTTTGTTGATATATGCATATTTCTCTGTTAATTATGATGATTAGCATCATTTAAATGATTATCTTGAACGGCATCATTCAAAGAATTTTGAAATTACATATTGTAAAACTTTAGTTGTAAAATGATTAATATGACAAGCTATTTTTTTGGTGGTGTTGGGGGGGGTCAAAGCCAGCTACACGGTTCTGTACCTGGCAAATTAGTTCCCTTCAAACTCATAAAGGAACCTAGAAATTATTCACGTATCTTTTTATTATTGTAGGCTACTAAAAATATAAATGTAATGTAAATGTTCCATGAATTTGATTTTCAATTATTCTGTTATATACCTGCCATCAATTTCTTGTAGAGTTTTCAACGACCTGCATTACTGACTTTTATCCAACCAAATGGCGACACTTATCGAGCTATTTTAAAACATGGTGATGATTTACGTCAGGATCAATTGGTTTTACAAATGATTGAGTTAATGGATGTGGTAAGATTTCCTTTAGTTTATTCTCCTAAGTTAAGAGAAATTTCGACCAAGCATTCAGATATCATAAAGTAGTCGCTTGATAATTGGAAAGGTAGTCTGAGTTTGATTAACTATTGCAATTTAGTAATTGTTTTATGCTCATAAACCATTTTTCTACATAATAATTGTTTCTATCTTCTTACAATATTATCTTTTTCTAGAGTCAGTTAGTTATGTAGTGTAATCTACGAGGTTATCGAATAATTATATATTTTGACTTGATACTTGTAAGGTTTTATTGCTTTCACTTCTATCATAGTATAGGACGTCGAGGTAAACAGTGATTTTGTTGGCTTAGTCTATCATAGTTTCTACACTATCTATTGGAATAATTTACCCATAGAATTTGACATATGAACCCACTTGGTGCTTCAAAAAATAAGACAATTTGTAAAACTTCGGTACTCCTAATAACTGTACTTTAAAATTCATGGTGTTCATAGCACAAAAGTTTATCATGGATCCTTATGGTTTGACTTTTTTTCAGTTAGACACTGCGATAAAAGTTACATTGCTAGAAATATGTATATTTAGTCCGATTCTGATACTGTTATACAAGCTTCCTATTTGCGATGAGAAGATTGGGAGTGAGAAGGAAGTTTTTTCATTGATCGACCGTTTTCTTAAAAAGAGCTATACGCTCAGCCATACATGTGTCTCTTGGATATTCAAGCCACATTGAAACGTCTCATGCTGTTGAAACGGAAGCCACACGTTAACCAATTATGTGAGCTTATCATTTGGCCGATAACTGGTTGGCTGCTTAAAGCCTCTTAGGTATTAGTGGATTTGAAGCTGACTAGAACGAGACAGTCTAAGACTATGGTTTTCAATGATCCTTCGGTTAAAATCATTTCGTATGGTCCACATTCACTACCTGTCTCTTGAAAATATGACCATCTTTGTTCATTTCAACTGAGTTTTCATCCATATTTTATTGCTGTTATCATTACAATCAGCCTTATTATTTCAAAAAAGCACGTTTAACTTCTTAAGGATTCAGTTCTTCGCACCTTTTTCGATTTTTCATATCTACTTGATATATTATTACTATTATCACCTTCATTATGATTATTTCACAATTTTTGGTAATAGATATTAGTTCTATCAGCTCATCTCTTCTGTTGTGAATAATTTACACGTTTCTTTCGGTTCATTACGTTCTGAACTTTCTTGTCCATTCTCTTGTTTTGTAAATTGAATTTCTAAGATTTTGGGAAGTAATCACGATTATTTATAACCATAGAATAAATTTATTAACGATTCATTCTCACAAGACTATATCTATTAAACATCTTGTTCATTAATTTAGTGCTTATGCAGAAGAATCTAAACGCATAAAATAAAATAAGTTCGCTACATCTCATAGCGTTTACTGTTCCTATCAAGTTTTCTTATTCAAGGGTTAAGTGCTCGCCACGAGACCTACAGGTCTTGGGTTTCATTTCCGGTTGGGTTGTAGACGTACACTGCCGAGGAGCTCATGTTTTAGGACGGAACAGCTATCCATTACTTCTTGGTTTTCGTTATTTGTCTAAATTCAATCCGCAATGCCAACCATAAAGTCTTTCAGTTGACATAGTTTCATATAGCTTTCTCTTAATACCCTTTACCTTAGTAGTTGTGTTTGTGTTAACAGTTGTTCTTCTCACTGCTTATCTCCAAACGTATGACTTCCATAAGCTTTTTGTGATGATTAATAATGAAGTAAAATATTCACATTTGTTGTTATTTCAGACTTTTCTTCTGTAACTATCTGAACACCAATATAGGTAAATGTTAGCCCTGTTCCCATTAATGCTTTATTCATTTATTTTACGGCGTTTTTTCATTATCTGTTGTAGATACTTCGCAAAGAAAATTTCGACCTTCGATTGACACCATATAAAGTTTTGGCAACAAGTAACCGTCATGGTAAATTACTTATGTTTTACTTAAATGCATCAGTGTAACATTTTACGTATTCTGAATTTTACACTTTAGCATAATAAGGATTTTTAGTAAAAATTTGATGACAAAAGGTAGCAAAGTAAAGCCTTTATGTTTTTACTTACACCTGCGTCTTGTTTAACCAGAATATATTTAAAGAGAACTATGTGAATGGTGTAGACGGCTTGTGTCTGATAAAGTAACACTTGCCAGTAGTTCTTCAGATTTCAAATCTGTCCACAAGGATATTCATAAAGACACTAAAAGATTCACCGTATACCTTATTAACTACCTTCAGCGCTCTTCGCAACAAAGTAAAATCTTTTCTTAGAAGCCCGAGAAAGAATAATGGAGCATGGTGAAGAATAATAGGCAAAAATAAAAGAATTTACAAATCGTAAAAGTAAATACCGAGTGATGGCAAAAGTATGTAACACTCTTTCCTGTAATAAATCAGACGGGAAACGTTCTTCAGTATTGATAAAACATGAAAATATCACTTTTCATTTAGTTTTCTTATGTTTTTTTCTTATAGGTTTAGTTCAATTTGTCGAATCTATTTCATTGGCTGATATTCTTCATCGTTCCACATTACTAGCTTATTTACAGTTAAAAGCTCCGAGTCCAAATAGTCCTATGGGTGTTCAAAAAGATGTTATGGAAACATATATTCGTTCTTGCGGTATGTTTTTCTGTTATAAAGAAAAGCCATTTTATGTGAATAAAATAACTTTGTAGACAGAAAAACGCTTTAGTTGTCAATGAAAGTGGTATTCTGTGTAAATAGTAATTGTTATAGATTGACTATAGATAACTAGCTGTTTTGGTAGCTCAAGGACGATAATAACTCTGATAGTTCTAGTGTTTAAGTACTAATCTACAAAACGGTTAGAGTAATAAAGTATTAAGTGACAACAAGGTAAAAATTCTTTACTAAATTAAGAGAACCTGTTTTGTGGAGTTGATGCTATGGGGGAGATTCAAAGTATTCCTCGGAAAAGGTCATAGAGACCCAGAAAACGCTGGGAATCCTTTTTTCATCAGCGTTCAATAGAAGCTTCTCAGAAACATTTAGAAAGCAATGAGTCACGTTTTCGATTGGATAGTTACATGTGCTTCCACTATATTTAATATCGTTCCAGAAACTTCCTGAAACCCAAAGACATCTGAAACACCATAAATGCCCTCGATTTTCTGTAAATAAACCAAACTTGGAGTAAAACCTTCCTCTTACACTTTGCGCCTTTGCTTTTATATTCAAGTTTCCGTGTAAATTTAGCTTGGAATTATTAAAAGCGATCAGGAAGTCGATTCGAGTGTTCATTGATAAAACTTATCAAATACGACAAATATAAACAAAGCGAATGCAACAGGACGATACAAATGAAATAGTATTTAAGAATAAATTAGTGTAAGTATGGGAAGAGTTAATGTCAATCTTTCTTTAAAGCACGCGTTTATCTACTATGTCAACTCAATTACATTGTTTTTTTATAGTTGAATTCACAATCTCAATCCTCAATAATTTTATCGTGTTTGGTTGAGCCATTTTAAACTGCTTTTATTAGAAAAGATCACTAGTATTTTAGTGTTTTTGTACATTCATCTTTTGAAGTCTTCGATTTTATCACTCTCTAACTCAGTTATAAGCAGCATAGAAACTAGCACATTTGTGCACCGTTCTAAGTTATCACGCTATACTTACGTAATGTAGTGAAATAATCAAGATGAATACTAAGTTGTTATATATAGTAGAACGTATAGTGATCGTGGAAGAACATTAGACGGAGAATTTTATCATTATTTATCATAAGATTCAATTAATTGTTTATTTTCACAAATATTTTCAATCACTATGTGGTATTTCTTCCTCTAACAGTGTGTGACATGAATATTTTATACTACCTTCAAGCGCTTTATTAAGGAAACTACAATATTTTTTTTTGCTTTTCTTACAGCCGGTTATTGTGTCATCACTTATCTTCTTGGAGTTGGTGATCGTCATATGGAGAACTTACTGCTCACTGCTGATGGTCATTTATTTCATATTGATTTTAGTTTTATTCTTGGCGCTGATCCTAAACCAATGGCACCTGAAGTAAGATTAACTCGTGCAATGATTGATGGTATGGGTGGTCCAAATTCAAATCAATTTAATGAATTTTGGAAAATCACTTTTACAGCTTTTCTTATTTTAAGACGGTAAGTGATAAATGATTTTGATAAGTAGTGTATATCTGGTACAATCTAAAGATTTATTTAATACATTTAATCATCTTTCTATGTACTAACATATTATTGTTTTTAGCTTGAATATAAACGTTGTTATTATTCAAGTTAACGTTTGTATTGTTCAAATGTTTCAAATAAAATATGCTGAAAAACATTTTACGTAGTTTAATCGTTATATTACGACTCATTTCTAAACAACTGTAGTATTTATTCTCATTAGTTTGATCTGTATTCAATTCTTCCATCCAACTGTTTATCTATTTCTCATCTTTGACAGATATTAGGATAATTTTTAGCAGCTTAATACCTTAAACGGTTGGTGCTAATAGTAGTCTTGAAGAAAATGCTAATGTTGAACCACTTATCCCGAAACTCATAGTTTTAGTTTTTCATTTTCATTCACTTCATGATATAACACTACCTTTCCCATACACATAAATGTCTATTTTGTATGGTTTCGCGTGTTTCACTTATTAGTTGTAGAATTTCATATAACTTTCGGGTCAAAATTAATTTTAATTATTTGTTCATCGGTTATCTATACAGTATTAACACTTTTACCAATTGTAGTTAACAATTCCTTTTATTATTATTTTTTTATTGATATACAGGCACGCGAATTTATTTTTGACTCTATTTTCCTTAATGTCAAACACAGGAATACAGAGTTTCAATGGTCAACAAAATAATGCATCTGAATTTTTAAAAGAACATTTCTGTGTACATCAATCCGAAGAGAAAGCTGTTAGTCGACTGGCTAATCGTATGACTGAATCTATCAAGGCTATTGTACCTGATATTATGGAACGAATACACACTATTGTACAAGTAAATAACTTCTATTATGTTGGGAATAGTCAATTTCATATTTTTTTCTTAACATGAAACAAATATTGTTTACGAAACTAAATAACTTGTCACATTCGTATATAGAAAAAATTTTCTTTGGCAACACTTTTGTCTTAATAGATGATAGATTGATATGCGATTTGATTGTTGTGTTTCAGAAGGATACTTCTTCGATAGTATTCGTAGATTGTTTGCTTTCATGTTCTTTTCATTAGTTATATTTCAATTGCTTTGATAGTCTAATTCTAATGAGAGATTTATAGTGTTAGTTTCATATGCTTACTGAAATTCAAATAGTTTCATGGGTAAATGAGCTGTTGCATGTATTTATTAAGGTTTTATTTATGGATTTTTCAGTTAGACATCAACATCAGGTCTGATACAAATGTATATCGGGCCACGTTACCGCATTTAGTATCAGCACAAGGAGAGGGAAATTTTAGATGAGAAGCTAAGGGAAGTCAGTCGTATAAAAAACAATAGAAATCTGAACATAAAAAATTCTGTTTATAAGCAGCAAATGGAATTGAAGAATTTCAGGTTAAGGATGATAGTTAACAAAGGATTTATAAGAAACTAGGGAATAAGTGTAATCACTCTGCTACAACGGATTTTACAACATGTTACCCAACCATTGCTTAGGATTATTGTGTAGATCCAAACCAGAATGTCTGAACCTATCGATGTGACGTAGATCCTCAGTTTCTTCCCATACTAATCATATGTCAACTAGGATCGAGCATTATGGTAATCTGTGGTTAGGCATATCTAACATGTATCAGTTAGTCTTGTGTGCTCCCATCATAACTCTCATCCGTATCAGTAACAACTAGGAAAATAAGAACCTAGCATACTTTCATGTGACCCACACCTTCTGGTCAAAAACTACAGCGTATTACAATGAAAGCTGTAGTACTTGAGATTAATTAGTAACTTTTCATGATTCTAATGGTATTTGAGAGAATCATTAGTTGTAAGTAAACTTGTGTTAAACATCTAAATCGTGTTACTATGTTTACTAGATGTCAAAGCAACTTATGTAGCTGGGCATTACACCATACATTGCGATTTATTGATTCTCGCGGGTTCACTATATGTAATGCTCTACTCTGGTAAGCTGCTGCTTTGTATCCTGTCATGGTCTCTAATTTCTTTCGACTTTAGTCATTACATCAGTTTGTAATTGTATTATATATAGGTATTTTTGAAAACGGTTCTACTTAAATGGATAGAACAACTCAGTAGTGTGTTCTTTCTGTAGGTAAGAACTTTTACCGATTATAAAATTTTTTTTCAAATAATTCATTATTTTAAACCTTCATTTATTTTTTTCCCACCTAGTATATGAGGAACTAATCAAACCTTCCAATAATCTAATTGTGATAGAGATCTTCAGTAACTTTTTTGTCAAACTTATATTTTCCTAACAAAAAAATATCACACATTTTCACCAGGATACTTTTGTTTACAAAATGTTTCAGTCAATAATAAAATGTCACAGTATTTCTTATCACTATTTAATAATTTTTGTAACAATGTATGTACATGAATAATAATAATATTAACAATAATAATAGAGTTGTCTTATGTAAATCATTCTTCTTTAATGTATGAATCAGGAGTTAGGGATAAATCCAATATTCCAATTCCAGTTTGTTTAAGAGCTAATGTAGTTGGCTATCGGTTAAAGAAAAGAAATACATAATTAATGTGTAACAACTGATAAAGAATGCTTTCAAAGCAACCTTCCTCGATTATTCTACTCATAGGTGTGTTGAGATTTAAGAAAAATATGTCGAGCACTTAGGTTTACATATATCAGTCGGATAAAACTGTAATTAGTTGTCATAATGTGAGTACAAGTTTTATTATGGGATAATTGATATTTGCTTGCTTAGATTCAATACAAAGAATATTAAGGATATTCTTATGATTTAAGCCTATAGCGCGATCTGAAGTTTTGTCATGTCCACTGAAATTCTTTATTACAACAATATTCAAATACCATTACTCTATACTGCTTACCAGAATTGGTCTAACATGGTTCTTCTAAACGCCGCTTTTTCTTATTTTATCAGTTGTGAAGTAGGGCTTCAGCTCTCATTAGCAACAAGTTAATCACATGCAACGTTGAACCCGAACCTTGTCTGTTTCGTTTCAATTTCTTATACCACGTTTATACAGCAAGATGAAATTATCAAGATAAATCCCAGAGTAGTAGAAATAGTATGATTAGCAATAGAAATGATTATAAATAGGCGCTATTATTCGACACAAGTGAGTTCGTGGAATAAAAAGGTGTAAGATATTTTTTAAGTTCAGGATTATAGGAAAGACAGAATGAATGTATCTGTGCCATTTCGAAAGATTCTAAGCTATGTTATTCAACGTCACCAACCATTGTTTACGACAATCTTATGGACCCCGATCAGGCACAGTAGTGTTTATTAAATAAATATGATTTCATACGATTCATATTATTTGTTGACCAATAAAACCTTCACCAAATAACCAGTTAAAGCGTTTGCATCGAACTATATATTCGGTCATCATAACAGAAGATAATCTAATAAAACTGATAATGAATTATTTTTCTCTCAGGTATGCCACGATAATGCGAATAGCCACTCTATATCAGATCCAGGATTCACGACTCTGAATAGAGAACCAGATAATACTTTATTCAACACATGCATTCACACTCAGTGAGCCCGGAGTAGAAATCAATGGGAGGAAAGGAAATCACTTATTTAATAATCAGTATGTTAAGTGCCTGTTTGCCCACACTCAATGACCAAACGTATTTTAATTTCACTGCCGTATATCTCCCTAAAATCAAAGAATGCAATAGTCTCATGATGCTCAGGTACACTTTGGGATGCTGTGGGGCTTTGCTTCCCAACTATATAAAATATCAAAATCGATGCATGTCATATGCTTCTTTATCTCTCAAGATGTGATGCACTATAATAAAAAGATTACCTTCTGTAGAAAAAGTTCGGTAAAAAAAACTTGAAATACAAATTCTCTCAAGCCGAAGTTCGTTGTTTTGTCTATCACTTATTGCACTGGTAAACTGAAGGCTCTTACTGTTAGAACATTTATATATGAAAAGTGGAATAATATAGAAATTAACACTACTGAATCCACCCAAAATATAAACTTGATAGGTTCTTGAAATGTAAATAAAAAGTGAGTGATTGTGAACCCATATTAGAAATTAGAACTGTCGGTATTTATTTTTCAAGAAACGTAATGAAGTCTATGATCACTTGTATGATGCAAACCAGGTTTTAGGAACCGTGTTTATGGTTGAAGTCATCGTATTTGATAAGTCGTGTAGGTTGAACGCTATATACGGTTCCTAAGCTATTTCGATAACCCGCAGTCTAGAACTACACAGCGACTTGAACTCCAGAGAGAAGACACAAGAATGAGAGAAAGCACTTTATTCCAAGGTTCATTTTTGTACAGAAAATCATGGGTATTTATAGATTTTGGGATCTGTTAAATCAACATCATTTTACAGCCAATCCGATAACAACACATTATGCTACCGACCAATAGTAGCACGCCACGTTGGAATTCTAGAACGTTCCATCACACTCTGATTGGCCAGGACTCTTCGGCTCCTTGTGGGCCTCTGGAGGCTCCGTTGAAGTTCTCCGGAAGCCGACCCAACACCTCCCCCGAATAAGATTTCTTTCTGGGATCCACTTGTAGTTTGATAACTGGATTGCGTCGGCGTCCCATTATTCTTGTCGTCTTTCTTGTCCAAGACTTTTCAGTGTTCCTGGGCGTTTGTGGCATTGGTGCGTCTAAGATTAAATCTAACGGGACGGTCGGCCGGTTACTTCGAGTGTGCACCGTTCTTTTGTCCTTAAGGATTTGATTTGTGTGACGTATGCATGTCCCAAAAGCTCCTCGAACTTTGTACAGTACTCTTCCCAGTTTTTGCACCACTTCGCCCGGCTCCCATCGGTTCTTCCCGATGTAGGATTTAATGTAGACTTTGTCGCCAATACTGAAGTTCCGGATACTTGGGTCGCGACTACGCTCATCCACTAGTTTGGATGGCAACATGGCATCAAAGACTGTTCGAATACGCCTTCCAAACATAGCTTCCGCGGGAGATTTGCCGTCTTGAACATTTGGGTTTGGGGTGGATCTGTATGATGTTAGAAATTTTGTGATCACTTGCTCAGTCGTCCCTTCTCCTCCCCCTTTCAGTAATGCTCGTTTAAAAGTGTCCACAAAGCGCTCTGCTTGTCCGTTTGATTGTGGATGATAGGGTGGAGAACGAAGATGATTTATTCCGTTTGTTCTACAGAAATGTTTAAACGATTCTGCGGCAAACTGAGAGCCGTTATCCGTCACTAAGGTCTCTGGTACTCCGAAACTGCTAAATAGGGTAGACAACTTGCGGATCGTTTCTGACGTTGTACAATTTGGCATGATGTATACTTCCGGCCATTTAGTGAATGCATCTACGATAATTAGAAACATTTTCCCTTGGATTGGACCGGCAAAATCTGCGTGAAGTCTTACCCAGGGTTCCGCGGGCATAGGCCAACACTGAGGTTCGCATTTCGAAGGATTTTTAGCGGCTTGAATACATGATGAACAGTTACGGCATTTATTCTCGATATCTTTGTCCATTGACGGCCAATAAGCATAGCTACGAGCCAAAGATTTCATTTTACTGATTCCAGGATGGCCACTGTGAAACTGCTTGAGAACCTTGTGACGTAATAACTTCGGAATAACAATGCGATCACCGAACATAATACAGGAGTCAACAACCATTAGAGAGTCCCGTCGACGAAAATATTGCAAAAGTTCTCCGTCAAGGCGATTGTTTGGCCATTTGGTCAAGAGATAGCATTTAACTGAGCTCAGTATCTTATCACTTTCAGTTATCTTCTTGATAGTTTCAAAGGTTACTGGGAGTCCATTAACTGCGTCATCCAACACGCGATGAACTTCTTCCTCGGCTTTTATATTTGCTACAAGAGTCTCCTCCGGGGTTTTCGATTGAGAGCCTATTAATCTCGACAATGCGTCAGCTTGCCCGAAAGTGGTAGTAGACTGATACTTAATCTTGAAGTCGTAACCCAGAAGTGTGGTTGCCCATCGTTGTAGTCTGTTAGCTGTATGAACAGGAATTCCTTTCTTTGACCCAAAAACCGCAAGTAGTGGTTTGTGGTCTGTTATTAGGGTAAAATGTCGACCATATATCATCTTGTGGAACTTTTTCACTGCAAAGATAATTGATAGGGCTTCTTTCTCGATTTGGCTATAGTTCCTTTCGGTCGTTGTCAGAGATCTGGCAGCGTGTGAGATAGCTTTTTCAGACCCATCAGGAAAAATGTGAGAGATAACTGCACCCACACCATAGTTAGAAGCATCTGAAGCGACGACTATCGGTAGAGAAGGATCATAATGTGTCAATAAGAGATCGGAAGTTAGGAGTTGCTTGATTTTCTCAAAAGATGCTTGGCAGTCTGCAGACCAATTCCATCTTGTGTTCTTTTGTAGTAGGTTGTTTAGTGGAGCACGTAGACGATGGAGATCGGGGAGAAAGGTACCGTAATGACTGACCAATCCCAAGAATGATCGTAGGGTAGTAACGTCCCTGGGTCTAGGCATTGTGTTCACTGCTTCAATGTTCTCTGGATCTGGACGTCTTCCGTCTTTATCTATTATGAACCCAAGGTACCGTACTTGCTGCATATAGAAGTCACACTTTTCCGCCCGGAGGCGAAAACCATAATCAGCTATGCGTTCTAATACCTGGTCCAGTTTCTTCTGCAGGTCCATTTTATCTACTGCCGTAATTATGATGTCGTCTAGGTAAGCTGCAGCTCCTGGAATACCTTGTAACATGGTATCCATAATTTGCTGGAAAATAGAGGGCGCTGTCTTTACCCCAAAAGGTAGTCGGTTATACCGGAACAGACCTTTGTGCGTGTTGATCGTTAAGAGATCTTTGCTTTCATCAGATACAGGAATTTGTAGGTATGCGTCTGATAAGTCCAATTTTGCAAAATATCTGCCACCGTTCAGCTTAGCGAAAAGATCTTCTGGTAAGGGTAACGGATACTGGTGAGACTGTAGCGCCTCATTTAATCCCGTGGAGTAGTCTGCACATAAACGAACACTTCCATTCGACTTCTTGACCACCACTATTGGTGCAGCCCAATTCGAGAAGTTCACAGGCTCGATAACACCCATTTGTTGAAGTCGTTGTAATTCTTGTTCAACTATTGGAAGAGCAGCATAGGGTACAGGTCTTTTAGGTCGAAAAACGGGAGCAGCTTCAGGTTTTAGAGTTAACAGTGCTTTGACTTTCGTACATTCTCCCAATCCTTCTCTAAACACGCTTTGATGTCTTTGTAGCATGGCGTTTTTCTGATTCCATTCTGGGGTGTTGTCTGTACTTACTCGTCTGCAGATACTGTTGATAGAATGATCTGCTAGTTTAAGTGTTTCTATAAGGTCCAACCCCATTAAGTCTAGTGCTGGCTTCTTAGTAAGATACAATGTTGCATTTGTTGTTACCGTACCTTTTGAAACAGTGCATGGTATTT